GTCCCCTTGGACACAGTGTTTCTCTACAACAGTAACCCAGGAGGAAATGGCTGCGTCAGAGGGTCCATACACTGCAAATTTTAGCGAATTGTCCAAAGGGGCAGGATTTCTACCACCAGATCCTGCAAGGAGATTAACATATTGTCTGCTTAAGACACTGGGGAAAAATTACTGGTAAATGCCTATGATTTGGCAAAATGGGCGTGGTGAGGAGAAGGGAGCGTCTAGGTTGGGGCGAAGGGGCATCCTGCTCACACACTCTGGAGCCAGAGGCCCTGGGTTCAAACTGGGGCTCTGCCACGTCAAGCTGTATGACCTCAGGCAAGTTACTCAACCTCTCTGCGCCTGGCTTCCTATCTGGAAAATGGCAGTAATAATAGTAGCCACCTCAAAGCATTGTTATGAGAAGTAACACATGGTAAAGTGCTCACAGCAGCCGTGGGCACTTGTTAAATAGTCCCCAGGTGTCATCTACTGTTACTATGTAACAACCAACGTGTGTTTGTGTCTGAAGCGCGCAGTCAGCCACTTCCATCATTTTGTTTGCCTTCCTGGCCCCGTTGGTGTTGCCTTTCCATCCACTGACATAGGGCACTTACTGCGGAGGAGGGAGGAGAGACCAGGAGAAGCCGAGGTCCGGGAGGGAGGGGACCCACGGAGGAGCAGCTTTACAGGAACCAAGAAATTCCAGAAGCAAGGGCTGCAAGAGCCTCCACAAAAGCCCCAGAGCTGATGCGGTGAAGACCAGAAGAGACTGCTGGGGCTCGGCAGCGGGGTCACTGGTGACCTTGGGGAGGGATGCTGGGCGGAAGCCGGCCTCAGAGGGGCCGGACAGGCCTGCACCCAGGCGGGCGAGGAGTGGGTCAGGAGCCCAATACTCTTCTGAGAAATCTGGCGGGATGGGGCTGTCCCTGGAAGGGGAGAAAAATGTTTCCTTTTTCAGGAGAGCAGCTCTGAGCAGGTTTGGGGGAAAATTACTTCTAGAGGCGTGACTGCAGGGTCTGAGAGGGACGGAGCCAGGGTGGCGACGTTCAGGGCCTGGCTCTCTCTGGAAGTTCGTGCCGCGATTAGATGCTCCACAGATTTCTGCTGAACAGTTAACCGGGCGAGGGAAAAGCGTCCTTGGTGGCCCACACTCTCTCATTTCATCGTGAGATACCAAGAAATCAAGAGCATAGCCCCACCCTTAATCAAGGCTGGATTCCCATCTATCTGGAAAAGGACACAGGAAGAGGAGAAAGGTAAAATGGCAATGAAAGAGTTAAACCAAGGGGGAGAGGCCTGGTTAGCAGAAAGGCGGCAAACTGACAGCCTGCAGGAGCTTTGACGGCTCCCAGGGACATGTTTAAAATTCGACCTGGTTGGCATCGATTCCATACAGGAAGTTTTCACAGTGAGATCTGAATTTCTCACATCCCACATCCTAAACATCAGCAAATTATATGGCTCCACCTTCAAAATGCAGATGCCCAGAGCGGGGTGAGTTCTCCCCCTCCTCTCTCACCCACCAACCGTCCATTCTCCACACGCAACCAGAGGGATCCTGTGAGGACCGCAGTCAGATCCCTTCCCTCCCCTGCTCAGAACCCTCCATGGCTCCCATCTACTCAGAGCAAAAGCCAAAGTCCTCACAGTGGCCCACAAAGTCCCACACGGTCTGCCCTCATTACCTTTTCACTCTCAGCGCCTTCTGCTTACTCCCTCTGCTCCAGCTACACGGGCCCCTCGCTGTTTCTAGAACATCCTAAGCAGGCTCCCTCCTTGGGACCTTTGCATTGAACGGCTCTCCCTCTGCGTGGCCTGCTGTTCTCCTGGGGAAAGGGTCCCCCACAGCTCATTCTGTGACTCTTTCCAGCCCTCACTCAGATGCCCGCTTCTCACTGAGGTTTCCCTGATGCCCCATCCAGGAGTTCACCCTGCTCCTGACGCTCGACCCTGCCCTGCGTTGTTTCTCCACAGCACTGGTCACCGTCTAGCATGCTACATAGTCTATTTATTTTGTTCAGGTCTGTCTCCCATTAGTTTGCAAGCAGTGTCTTCAGTCTGTTTTGACCTCCATAGACCCTCCAGTGCCTGGAACAGACCCTGCACACAGTAAGTACTCAGAAAACATTTGCACAACGAGTACATTTCCAGTTCCTCTTGAACAATCAGAAGAATTTTGCAGCACTGGATAGGAGCTAGATAGCCAGGGGCCACCCCCTCTCCTGCTTCCCACAGTCCCCACCCAGCCCGATTCACTCATCTGCACCTTCGTCCTCTGGGCCGGTGAGCGAGCACTGTGTTGGGAGCCCAGAGCCCCACATTTTGATCCTAACTTTTCTGTTGTCGTTTCTTCCCCGCCACCTCCCTGTCCCTGCACCTGCCACCCTCCGCCTGGAACACCCTTCTCCCGTCTGCCTGGTAAACTCCTCTTCGTCTTCTAAATCAGGGGTCGGCACACTCCGGCCGCCAGCCAGATCTGGCCCGCCGCCTGTCTCTGTACAGCTTGTGAGCTAAGAATGGTGTTCACATTTTTAAATGGCTGGGGGGAAAAAAATCAAGAGAAGCGTATTTCATGACATGTGAAAATTATATGAAATTCAAATTTCAGTGTCCATAAATAAAGTTGCACTGGCGCACGGCCACACCCGTCGTTTACCTGTTGTCTGGTGCTGCCTTAGCTCTCCAAGGGCAGAGCTGAGCAGTCGCGACAGGGACCGCCTTGCCTGCAGGGTCTCACATATCTCTGGCCTCTTACGGGAAACATTTGCCAACCTCGGTCTAAATCCCGTCTTGAGATGAACAGAAACCAAAACCCACCAACGTCTTTCTCGGCTTTAACTCCTCTGTGAAAACTTCGCTCATTCCTCGGACCCACGTCGGCACCGGGAACCAACTCATATTATTGAACGCTGACTCCCGCTGGCCATGATTTGTTTTCTGTGTATTTGCCCCTGCCTCCTCAAGGCCCTGGATGCCAGAGCGCAGGCTCAAATCGCCCAGCACTGAGTGCATGGCCTGACAGTCAATAAATATTGATTTATTTTAAACTTTCCTGCGAAACCCAGGGCCACCCTGTCTCCACTCCAGGCTCAGTTTTCTCATCTGTAAAGTGGGAGTCTTGGTCCCTAAGATCTCCAGCACTGAGCAGAGGAAGCACACCTGGGTCCTCACCAGGCAGAATGAGATTATTTGCCAAAACAGATGTTTTTTTTAAAAAAGGCATCATGAGAGCACCAAAGGTCACACGCTCGTGGACCGTGGACCCAATTTCAGCCAAAATGTGTTTTACTTGGCTTGCATCTGTTTTGTTTTGTTTTGTTTTTAACTTTGGTATCAGTATAAAGGTAACGCAGTCCACTTCAGTCACAAGGACTATCTCTCTGGCCCGTGTGGGCGTTTGAGTTAGCTGTCCCTGGATGGAGAGTTAAAGATCGTCACAGCCACACCACCAGGAGCCCCAAAGAAGACTCTAGAGTCAAATGCTAGGGATGTATTGAGGATAGTTGTTCCCAAACCTGGCTGAAATCAGAATCACCCGGGGAGTGTATGAGACGCAGACTCCAGGCACCCCTCAGACCCTGGAATCCCGCCCTCCGTAGTTTTTGGCACCGGATGTAAATTTTTTCCCCCAAGATTCTCCCCAAATGCTTATGCATTGCAGGTGGGAAGGTGTGTCGCATCAAGCTCTGCAGACGCGAATTCGGCTGTACCTGTCAAAATTATAAATGCACCGATCTCTTGACCCAGCAGTTCCACTTCTGGGAATCCATCTTCCAGACCAGCGCTCCTTAAACTTTAATGCGCATGCCAATCCCCTGGGCATCTTTTTAAAATGCAGTTCCTGATCCAGGAGGTCTGGGGTGGGGCCTCTGATGCTGTGCTTCTAACGAAGCTCCCGTTTGATGCCCAGCTGCTAGTCCTGGGACATTTTGAGTAGCCAGGCTCTACCTCTCCCCACAAACATGCCCAGAGATTACATACAGGATGACTCACTGTACCATAGTGTGTCATTGCAACATTGGAAATAACCTAAGTGTTCATCAACAGGGGACCAGTCAAATAGGTGCACGTCTGCCACAGACCACTACACAGCTTTGAAAATATCAAGGCAGCTCGTTATGTACTGGTATGGAATTCTCTCCAGGACATATTATTAAACAAAAGAAGCAAGGAGCATAACGGTGAGTGGAGTGGGCAACTATTTTTATAAAGGGTGTTGGGGGGAATGCTTACGTTCATATTGAATTGCAGAAGCACAGAATAGCCTGGCAGGAGAAACTGAGAACTGAGTGCCTCTAGAGAGGGGAAGTGAGTGGATGGAGAGGCAGGTGACATTTTGCCATACCCATTTGAATTTTGAACTATGTGACTTTAACACCTGTTCAAAAAATAAATTAAAAATTTAAATTATAATGATGCATAAATAAAAAGACTCACCACATGCTTCTAATGCTCAGACATGGATTTAGACAGAAAAGCTGAGCTGCATGCTCCAGGCTGGGTCACCTCCTACCTCAGTACACCGTATCCATATGTAGACACACACACACACATTGGCATACAGCTTCGAGGACGGTCCGCGTGGCGTGTTGGCAAGCGTGCTGGGTTTAAACTCCGCAAACCTCGGTTGCATCCCGGTTCCACCAGACGAGTAACATAGAGCAAGACATTCAGCCTCAATGAGCCCCATTTCATGAGGATGATCTAAACAACCCCGGCTGCCCTGTAGACCTTGGGTGGTAGGAAATGCATCACAGACTGTCCAGTGTACACGTGGACCTCGATGCTGAGCAAGGGGCTCCCAGCCTGGTCTCCACAGGGTCTCATGCACACCTCCCAGGGCACCACGCAAGGTGGAAACTCAATACCTTGACCTTTGCAGTCAGGCAGCTGCTCCAAGCAACCCCTGGCAGTGCTAACCTCCAACTCTCCTCCCACCGTCTGGTCCAGCTGCCAGACTGAGTCACACGCAGGCCGAGGGACAGGCACATGACCTGTGCATGGGGCTGGTGTGAGTGTGGTGGTTGGAGAAGGGTGGGAAAGGCTGTAAGAGGCTGTCACTCCCCTCAGTGGAAAATGTCCTGCCAGAGGAGGAGATCTAAGCCTGCCTCTAGTCTGGAACTCAGCTGGCTGCCTGGCTTTCTAGCAGAACTTCTCCTCCAGGAAGCCCACCGGGTATGTGTGCATGTGTGTGTGCCATGTATATGAGACGGAAAGAGAAAAAAAGTGTACAAGGGGATGATAATAAAAATAACAAATACTGAGCGCTTACCATGTGCCACTCTCTGTCCTAAGCATCTCGCAGATGAAACTCAGTGAATCTTCATTGACACGAGCATCATCATCCTCATCCCCATCTTCCAGATGAGAAGACTGAGGCACAGCGCAGGTAATTAATTTACCCAAGGTCACAGAGCCTGGATTCAGAGACAGGCAGTCTGACCCAGCGCCCCAACCCTGAACCTTTCCTTCCGTGAAGGAGTTTTCCGGAGGTCACTTACGTTGGCATCTGGCGGTCTGACCGTGGGCATATTGACCCCATGCTTCGAGTTACAGAGCCTCAGTTTCCCCACCTGTAAAGCGAGGATCATCCTAGCAGTACCCTCCTTTCAGGGCTGTTTTGAGGCTCACTAATGAGGCGTTGAAAGCCCTGTTGACTCCCGTGAAGACCATCACTGTTAATCTGATTATCACGCCCGTCATCACCCAGGACTATTGAACAAGGTTCAGAAAACCCCAGTCCTGAGCAAGAAGGAGTCAAATCTCTCTTTTTAGCAGTTTGCGCATATCGCTCATCTGCAACATGTAACCTAAATATCTTGCCCTTTTCCTGTTTCCGTCAACCCCTGTTAGAAGTCAGACAGGGCTGGTATAGAAAACGTGCAGATCTTGCTCACGATTAAAACCACTCTTTCTTTTAAAGACACCAAGAATCTTGATTTCTGCTGAGAGAGTCTCACAAAAGAGAAACCCACACGGGGCCCTACCTCCAGCCTGGTGGCAGAGGCACAGATGAAATTTGTCTTTCCAGGTCACTTCCATTTCTGCGTCCCTGGAAGGTTAATTCAATTCAACAGTTATTTAGTAAGCATTTACGCTATTCGAGGCCCCTGCTGGGGACTGGGAAGATGGCACTGAACAAGACAGACAAAAATCCCCATCTCATGGAGCTGACATTCTAGAGGAGGAAACAGACAATGAACAAGTGAAGAGATCATCTCATGCCAAATGTCAAGAAACGCCATGAAGAAAAATAAAACAGAGTAAGGGCATGGAGAGAGATGGGAGTAGGGGGCTGTTATTTTGAACAAGGTGATCAGAGAAAGCTTCTTGGAAACATTTGAGTGGAGAGCTAATGAAGTGAGGGTAGCCGGGGGAAAGAATATTTCAGGGTGAGGGAGTGAGTGGCATGTACAAAGGCCCTGAGGCAGAATGAGGGAGAGAATGGTAGGAAATTGTTCAGGCAGGCAGGTAAGTCTTGCTTCTCTCCTCCGTTCTTCTCTGCCAAACTGGGATGAAGACAGCAGCTTGCTGCCCCACCTCCATCCCGGAGCCTGCTAGGAGATAATGGAGGGGAAAGTGCTTTGAGAGGGAGAGCAGGGACCGATTAAGTGTTATTAATGGACACGCTGGACAAGGCCCATGCCAGGGGCACTTTGGGACAACGTGGTTTCTCCTCCCTCCTGGCAAGGCTGTGTTATCCTAAATACCAGCACCAGGAGAGTCCAAGTTCAAATATTTCCACTCTCTCATTTGAGGGATGGAAAAAGTAGGGCCCAGAGAGGGAAGGAGACCTGCCCAAGGTCACATAGCAAGTTCCTGCCAGAGCCCCAAATTGCAGGATTCGGCTCAAGAGTAACTAATATTGAACCATCTCCCTCTCAGGCAAAGATGAGAGTAAACAAAATCAATATTCTTATCGCCTTAAGAAGTCGTTGCTTCCTCAGAGAAGGAGGTGAGACTATTTGCTGAGGAGTTGGCTGGGGGAAGTCACACTTTGCAAAGCAAACAAGATGTGTTAAATGAGCAGTTTCTCCCACAGGCTGGTCTCTTTGCTCTCAGCAAGTGACTTCTCATTTGTGCTTTTCAAAACATCCCCCTAATTTTCTTAGATCCTTGTAGTCCGTGCTGAGCGAGAGTCAGAGAAGATTCTGGGCTCTTTGTCCCCTTTCCACAGATGAGGAAACTGAGGCCCAGAGTAGGGAAATAGCTCACGTGAGGCCGTACAGCAGAGTTATTTTTTCGGTCAACAGATAGCCATGACAATGGACTGGGAAAATGGCAGGGAGCAGGCCACCCAGAAAATAACGTAATGAACAAGGTCATTTCAGAGAATTCCAAGAGCTCCGGGTGGAATCCACAGAGGGACTGGTAGGACCAATTCACTGTGGTCAGAGAAGGGCCCAGGGGAGGTGACATGTGCGTGGAGCCCATAGCTTGAGAAGTAACCAGCCACGTCCAGAGCTAGGCAGAAGAGGGCTCCAGGCCAGGGGACAAGCGTGGTGTTGCAGGAACAGGAAGGAAAGGCCACAGGGAGAGAAGGGGAGATAAGACCAGAGAGGTGGGGCAGGGCCTTGCTGGAGCGGGGCCTTAAAACCCAGATCTCCTTCTTCGGAACCGAGGCTCGCTCTTTCACGAGTCCCTCTGGCCCTCTGCACACCCTGGGCTTCCTCAGCCGACCCAGGAAGTTCCTGGTGTCCTCTCTGCATGGACCTCTGGTACCATCTTGCCCGCTCGGCCCTGATTCCCACGAGCTCACGCAGCATCAGCCGCCTTTCTCTCACACACAGGCAGACGTTCACCTCTGGTTTCTCAAGTTCACACTCTGGGAGCCTCACACCAGTGGAGGAATTTGCGTCTCCCTCCTCCCCTGGAGCAGCAGGAGTTGGAATGGGGGTAGGGAAGAAGAGAGAGAGCAGAGAAGAGCTTCAGGAGTGAACTGCCTGCAAGCTAGGTGGAAAGGCAGAGGGAACACAGGCCGGACCTGGTGAGGGGGACAGGCTCCCAGGGACCAGAGCTGTCTCCTCTGGCCTCACTCCTGGTGTTAGGAGGTGGCAGACAGGATCCCAGAATGAGGCAGGCCAAAAATAGCCAAGTAGCAGGGACAGCCTCTAGGAGACCCTGGACGGGAAGGGGCCATCAGACCTCCAGAACCCTTCCTTGGTGTCATCGTTCGTTGACGTACGCAGCTGTAGTCGTTCTTTTTAATTGAGATGTAATTGACATATTTCATTAGTTTCAGGTACAACACAACGATTCGATATTTGTAAATCTTGAGAAACGATCGCCACGGTAAGTCTAGTTAGCTTCCGTCACCATGCATAGTTACAAATTTTTTTTCTTGTGATCAGAACTTTTAGCATCTCCTCTCTTAGCATCTTTCCAATACACGATATAGCATTATTAACTACAGTCACCACGCCATCTATTACACCCCCAGGACTTAATTATTTTATATCTGGAAGTTTGTACCTTTTGACCTCCTTCACCCATTTCCCACCCCCGACTCTGGCAACCTCAAGTCTTCTTAATATTAATAACAATAGTTCAGATTTATTGAGCGCACACTGTATGCTGTGTATGGTACTGAGTACTTTACAGTCTCACTCACAAAAGCACCTATGTCAGACAGGAAGAAAGAGATTCTCGGAAAACTTGGTGATTATCACGGATTTCAGGGGGCCAGCTGGATCAAAACAACTACAAAGCTGGTCACCTAACACCCCTCCCCCCTCCCCAGGAGACACCCCCTGGAAGGCCCTCCCGCGGGCCTGTTCCGGAGCCACCCTTCAGGAGGACCTTCCAGACAGAAACCAAGATGCCCGCTTCACCCCCGTTAGGACGGCTGCTGTCAGAAAACCAGAAAATAACAAGTATTGGGGAGGATGTGGAGAAACTGGGACCTCTGTGCTCTGTTGCTGGGAATGTAATGGTGCAGCCACTGGAAAACAGTATGACATTTCCCCTAAAAATTAAAAATGGAATTACCGTATAATCCAGCAATTCCGCTGTGGGTATACACCCCAAAGAAGTGAAAGCAGGGGCTCAGCCAGTTATTTATACACCTTTGTTCACAGCAGCGCTGTTCACAACGGCCAAAAGGTAGAAGCAACCCAGGTGCCCATCGACTGATGAGTGGATAAATACAACGTGGTATAAGCATACGACAGAATATCATTCAGCCTTAAAAAGGAAGGAAATTCTGACACAAGCTACAATGTGAATGAACCTTGAGGACATTATGCTGAGTGAAACAAGCCAGTCTCAAAAGGATCAATACTGTATGATTCCACTTATGTGAGGCCCCTCGAGCAGCCAAATGCACAGAGACAGAAAGTTGAAGGGTGGCTGCCAGCGGCTGGGGAGAGAGGGGAGTGGGAGTTATTATTTCATGGGCACGGAGTTCCAGTTTTGCCAGCTGAAAAGAGTTCTGGAGACGGATGGTGGGGATGGTTGCACAGCAAAATGAATGTATTTAATAGCACCGAACTGTGCACTTAACAATGGTTAAGATATTAGGTGTATTTTGCCACGATTAAAAATTGAAAACAAAAAAAGGAAAAGATGCCCCCGCCTCTTCTCTGGGGCCCAGAAAGGAGGTCTCATTTAATGACAGGAAGGACCCCCAGCAGTCCTGGGGCCCCCTCCAATTCCCTCTGGACATTAACAGTCTGAGGCAGGCCTCTGTGACCCTAAGAGAAGCCATCTGAGACTTTAGTGTTGCCCTTTGGCCCCAGAACAGCATCTCAATGAAAGGACGTTGAGAGAAATAGAGTTGGAGTTCTCATATTGTCTTTGGGTGACCTTGGACAATTCACTGTATCTCCTTGGGCCTCAGTTTCCTCATCTTACCAAGTGAGGGGGTTGGACTTCAGAAGTTGCCCAGGAATCCTGTCTGGCTCCCAGAAGTGTCTTGTCTGTCTGTAATAAGATTTAAAATTGGGACGGTCAGCCACCCAGGGCTCTGTTCCTCCGTGGTCACCACCGTTGAAGGTGGCCCCCCTGGATGGAGCCAGTGCTGCCCAGTTCAGGCAGTGCCCCCCATGGGCCTGACCCTCCCTGCCAGGGCCCCGGAGGTGCTTGAGTTTGCAAAGCCTGGACAAGAGGACACCAAGGAGCCTCTGACTTCAGTGATGGCTTCGTTAGGCTTTCCGAGTGAAAATTTCTTCGAAAACACAGCTCTGGGGTTTCTGACCATGGGACGCATTGTCTCTGGGACCTCTCCTTTCTCGTCCTAACGTCAGCATTCTGCAGACCAGTTCCCTAACTAGGGGGACACCACAGCAGGGTCTCACACCCCCCACTGCCATCTCACGATTGGACGTCACACTTCCCTGTCCTGAGATTCCCAGCAGGGAGGGAAGAAGCCCCCACACACTTCACTTGAGGGGCTTTCAGACAGCAACGTCCCTTCCACTGTCCATCTCAAAGCCTATAGAAAGCAAAAAAATAAGAGCCAAAAATACTCATTAAGGTCTTTTGATTCAAACAAGAGAAACAGAGCTGACACCGTCACCCTCGTCTTCTTCCTCACCGTATTGGAGTACTAACAATGGCTGACTTTAATTGAGCAATGACTGTGTGCCAGGCTTTCTTCTAAGTGCTTTGCATATCGTTTCCTTTGTACCCCACAGCAATCAGAAGAGGTAGGCGCTATTATAACCCCATTTTACAGAAGATGCCACTGAGGCAGAACCCCCGTGGGGGCCGTGAGGAGGCCTGGGGCAGACTTCAGCTCTTTCGCCTCTTGTGATGTGACCTTGGACAAGTCACTTCTTCTCTCCAGGCCTCAGTTTTCTCATCAGTGAAATCTCCAAGTTGACCAAGGTCATCATCACGGTCTGAACGTTTTATTATTCCTTGAACACATTTCCTGAAAATCAAAGCATAATGAAAAGAGTGAATTGGAAACTACGATTGTGAGTGTAGGGCGTGTGTGTACATGTGTGCGCACGCATGCATGTGTGCGTTTTAAAAGCCAGTTAGTCGACGATCCTTTGCATTCTTCCTTCTAAACCTGGGCCTGGCCGAACGGCTCCCGCACAGAAGGGCCGCTGAGCCATCAACAAGGAGGCACCACAGGATCCACCGTCAGCGTTCACGAGCACTGCCACGGCGTGGGCCTCAAAAGCATGCTGCTGGGACACACAAAGAGATCCAGAAACGTGCCATGAAGGAGACGGCAACTCCAGATGTGATCAGGCTGCAGGGACAAGCAATGTCCCCCATCGGATCCGTGTGCGGCTGTTGGAGAAACATGAGGAGAACTCACCATGCAAGCTCTCTACACTGGCCACCTGTGTCCCGTCACCACCTCCAAAAGTGTGCCGTCAACGTGGATGAGAACAAACTGCTGACTCTCAAGTAGAGTTATAAAACCGCCCAAAAAACGCTAATTAATCAAACTTCTAAAACTGAGCCTAAAATTTTTTTTAACTTAGTAGACATTTTAAAGCAGTTTTACGTTTACAGAAAAACTTGAGGGGAAAGTACAGAGAGTTCCCCTGTACCCTCTCACCCCCCCCAAGTTCCCCCTGTTATTGGCATCTGGCGTTGGTGTGGCACCTTTATTACAAGGGATGAGCCAATGTTGATACGTCATCATCAACTAAACCCATCGTTTACGTTAGGGTTCACTCTGCGCCGTCTATCCTGTGGGTTTGGACAAATGCATAACGACACGTATTTGCCATTGCAGTACCATCCACTGGTACTCACTGCCCCAAAATGCTCTGTGCCCTGCCTATGCGTCCCTCCCTCCCCGCAAACCCCTGGCAGCCACCGATCTTTTCACCATCACCATAATCATATAGCTGTCCCAGAATGTCATCTGGTTGGAATCGCACAGTATGTCGCCTTTTCCGATCGGCTTGTTTCGCTCAGTGACGTGCACTTCTGGTTCCTCCACGTCTTTTCGTGGATTAACAGCTCATTTCTTTTTAGTGCTGAATAATATTCCGTTGTCTGGATGGACCAATTTGTTCATCCATTCAGCTCCTGAAGGACGTCTTGGTTGCTTCCAAGTTTTGGCAATTATGAATAAGAGTTTATACATTTTTTTATAATTTTTTCTTCCAATTGCAAAAGCAATGACACACGATCACTGTAGATCAGGAACGCACAGACAAGCGCAGGGAACGAAATAAAAATCTCCCATTTTATGAATAAAGAAACTGAGGCTCTGGGAGGGGAAGTAAAATGTTCATTTATTCATTCCTCCAGTGAATATTTACGGAGGACCTACTATGTGCAGTCTGTGTGCTGGAGTAGAGGACATTGCTGGGAACAAGGGAGACAAGGTCTCCACCCTCTTGGAGTTGACATTCTAGGTAGACAGTGACCGACTTTCTTTGTTCCAGGCATTGTTCCAGAATCTCTGTGTGCATCAAGGCAGCTAACCTTCACAGGCACATGAGGAAGTAAGACTCGTTATCCCATTCACAGATGGGAAAGCTGGGGTCCAGAGAGGTCAAATCACTAACCTAAGGGCACAGAGCTCGAAGGTGGCGGAAGCAGGGTTTGAGCCCAGGTCATGGGGCTCCGAGTCTGTGAGTTTACCCTGCTTTAAAATAAGGGGAAGTCATTTCAGCCTGAGAGTTGGGGGCAGAGCCCAGGCTGAACCCCGGTCTTCAGTTTCTGGGCTCCTTTGTGCTAGGGCCCCTCTGCCTTTCAGGGTTCTGAGAAGCCAAACTCCTTTGTTCTTCGTGGCTTCTTGGCCTGGTCCCTGGGGGCTGCGGGGAAGGCCCTGGCGCTCACAGCCTGGCCTCCTGGCTGGCCAGAGCTCCCGAATGCAATCACATCCCCTTTATTTTTAAGCCATTAAGTCCCTGATGACAAACGCCGTTCTTTGGATGAGCAGGCCGACCTGACCGGGAGAGCAGAGTCGCTGGGTATGGAAAAACGATCTGGAAGCCACACGCCTCAGCGGGTGTTTGTGACCATCAGGCAGGGAGGGCAGCCTCGCCCCACTCTGCTTCCCTCGGGGCTGTTCACAGTCAGCAGCTGCAAAAGCTGACAGTTTCTAGGACTGTGCTGGTGAGGCGCTGGGCGAACAGGGGCTCTCATACAGCGCTGGTGAGAGAAAGCCGTTGTAGCTGCTTTGGAAACAGTTGACACCAACCATCCAACTTTAAAGGAATCTGACCCAGCGATTCAGGGTCTGAGAGTCCATCCTACAGCTGTCCTCACTCGTGCGTAAAACGGCCTGGGCATAGGGCCGGCCCAGTGGCCGAGTGCTTAAGTTGGCGCGCTCTGCTTCAGCGGCCTGGGATTTCACTGGTTCAGATCCTGGGCGTGGACATGGCGCTGCTCATCAGGCCACGCTGAGGCAGCGTCCCACATGCCACAACTAGAAGAACCCACAACTAAAAAATATACAACTATGTACCGGGGGGATTTGGGGGAGGAAAAAGCAGGAAAAAAATTAAAACAAACAAACAAACAAACAAAAAACGGCCTGTGCACGAGGCACTACACTATGGCAGTTTGTAGGGAAAGGACTGGAGCG